ATATATATATATATATATATATATATATATATATATATATATATATATAACGGAATTGTACGTATGTATATGCATGTATACATATACACAAATTAGCGTGCCGGCCCCTCGGTTTCTCATTTCACAGAAATTCCGGCGGGTCCCTATTTCTTCACCGGCCCTATTTCGTGGACCGGCGCGCAGCATTAGAAGACGCTATCGTCCACGCCGACCTCGGGCTATGATTTGTGATTCGAAGTAGAGGATGTAGGCTCTCCGATTTGGAGACTGACCGCCAAGGCCACGTCAGAGAGCCCGTGCATGCACGCGAGAGAGACAGAGAGAGAGAAGATTATACACGCACGCGGCGCGCACGCATTTCTCGCCCCTGTCAATGGAGGAGCGCGTGTCACGCCGTGCGTAATCGCGCGGCAACGAGGTGCGCGAAGTGCAGACGCTGCGCGTTTCAGCTTCCGGTCTGGTCTTCCTCGCTATCACCCGGGACGCAGAACATTCACTCACGCTTCTCACCGAGTGTGATTTCCGAATTCCGGACGTGCATGTGAGATCCTCGCATGAGCGGCTCGCGAAATTCATCGCCCCGTACTACGACGCGCGTTGTTTGGTCGCTGAACATTTGACTCGCGAGCTGAAAGAACGCGATATCTTAGTTACACGATTTATAATTTATTCCCTTCCCCCCTCTCCCTCCCCCGAGGGCTTTATATGAGATTGTCTTTTATTTGATAATATTATTTTATTCTGTTACCTCGTCTCCGAATCTTCATTTTGTTCTTCGACGATCGTTTCTTCTCACTCAAAACGGATATCCGCGTGCACTGTTGGGGACCCCCTTGCAAATTCTCGAGTCCGTCCCCCTCAAAGTGCGTCTGCATTTTTCTCGTTAATTGCAATTGTCACGCTCGCAAGCATCGCAGGCGCCGCAAAATTCACCTTGTTTCCTTTTGCAGCTTCCAGCGTGACGAACACGTGGCCGGCGAAGTGAATCGCGCAGCGGTCGGACTCGCGCGCGGAGCCCTTCGGCGATTCGGCCCTGGCTCGGCTCGCACGACCCTGGATCGCAAATTGGAGCGGAATGACTACCGTCGAGTCGAAAAGTATACGCCGTCGTTGTTCGGGCGACGCGACGCGACGCGACGCAACGGGACACGACGCCCTCGACTCCGTAGGAGGCGCCCTGGAGAAACCGCATACAGAACGCAATGCATAAAAGATAGGTCGAGACTGGTAGCAATATTCAGAGATTTTTAATCCAATATTGCACTTGTCCCGGCCTATCAAAGTGCATTGTCCTTCGGCGAGGAGCGAGACAAAGAAATCCACTACCACGCATAACAAGAAAGAAGTATGATAGAGGGAGGAGATACATTATTTGGAAGAATTTGGCTCTCTAGAGATGGAGATCTTCGAGGATCGGGCAGGTTAGGATATGGGCATTATTTGTGATAGTGATACTCAAATTGCACTTATCCCGGCCTGTTGGATCTGGTCGATATGTCGACGCGTGCTCACTGAGAGTGGTCTGAATCCACCGCTACCTGGTACAATTCTGGTCGCACTCTGAGCACGGATCGTGAGCGACGAAGTCAGACTTTGAAGACTCGATGCTGTGAATATAAAATACGCGTAGATCATGTCTTCGCGTTAAGCCACAGTATCAATTATCGGATTCTTATGTGATAATTTGTACAAATCAGATGTAATTTCACTCATAACCTTCTGTGGTTACTTCCAAGTATTGTTCCATGATTGTTTTTTTCTTGTTGAATAATAAAGCATTGCGAAACATTACGTATTCTGTAATTTCATAACGGAAACATTCATCCTTTCGACATACCACTCTTCTTCCAAAATGAAAAGTTCATGAAATCTCTCCTAAATGTTGTACATTCGCTTCATCCGAAAATCCGTCCATTTCCCGTCGAATCTGCTGCTTATATCTGCAAATTTCGTAATTTTCCGCCGCTCGGAGGAGCCTGTAATCGACTTTGTAGTATAACAATGCACACTCCGTACACACGCACCGGTGAAAGTTAAGTATTAACGTATAGCAACGTGTAATTCACGCGTACATAATATGCCGTGCGTGACGTTGCGATCCGTTCGCACCCTTTTGTTCGCAATTTTGCTCTCGAAATAAAATTTTCACACATTTGTGCAAAGAGAGATCAAGTCGCGTTGCTTTGCAGATTGTCGTATCGCGGGGGGAGGACCTCTCTTGCAGAATTGCGCAGATAAATAGCAGTAAAAGTATAATAAAGGTATGAAGTATAATAAAGTAAAAGTATAATAAAAGTATGAAGTAAAAATGAGAGACAAGGTTCACGCGTTGCTTGCAAGAATCTTCTTCCGACTTTCCTTCACTCTTCCGCCGTCAGTGCGACTCTACGGCGGGATAAACGAGACGCTCGGATATCGGAGCGGATTTGTCACGTCATGTAAGGAAGCAAGTAAATAAAGAGCAATCTTTTATACGAGCAGGCATTTAAAGCGCTCTTTAAATCCCCATTGGAGCCGCTTCTATCCGTAACAGATGTGCAACTCGAATTTCGTGATTCGTGAATAATGACACGCACATCAACGTGCACACACACATACACATATAGTGGGTGTGCACGTACGCATATTGCGTGCGGCTCTTCGCGAGAACGTTTCTCCTCCAGGATGTCACTTGGTCCGCGCGCTTCCGGCCGATTCGAGCGAGAAAAATGACGACGTCCGCCACCTTTCGCGAGCGCGAGTATTAACGATCACTCACGAATTCGGAAGGTAAACAAGGGGAAGAAGGACATGAGAGGGGAGAGAGAGAGAGAGAGAGAAAGAGAGAAAAGAAACGAAAAAGGAAGCCGCGCATCCCTTTGTGTTACGCGCGCGCGTAACCGTTCCGCGAAACGGTTGCATCAGTCAAGAGGAAGGAAGGAAGGAGCAAGACGGGAAAGGGAAAAGAAGGGACGAGAGGGAAACGGTCGACCCACAAGTCGCCCTTCATCGCGAGTCCCGAATTTCGCGAGATCGCCGTGGAGCATTCAGCATTCGTGTTTCTCGCAAGATGAGCTCTATGGACATATTGTGTTTCTTCTTTTTGTCTTGTTCTCTCTTCTCTCTCTCTTTCTTTCTCTCTCTCTCTCTCTCTGTTTTCTTCCCTGTTCCACTTCACTTCATCCTGCGTCCGACAGAAGGGTGATACCACCAGAACGTACCCCTAAACGCGTTCGCTACGCCGCAACGAGCATTTTATAATTCGACTCTGCTCTCTTTCTTTCTCTCGGTGCCGCGGAGAGAAGCACAAAGAAAAAGCCAGGGAGAAAGAAAGAGAGAGAGAGGGTGGAAGGGAGGGAGGGAGGGAGAGAAAGAAAGGAAGAGGGAAAACCCGATATCAAAGGACGAAGGCAGCCGGAGGGCAAAGGGGAAGGGGCAGGGGGTTACGTTACGTTCGATCGAACAAGGAAACACAATAAAAGTAGTGAGGGCCCCGTAGAGGGACGCGAATCCTGTTTTTCATTCGTGTCCCTCTCCTCGCCTCGCTTCTCGCACCGCGCGGAGAAACGTGTGCCCCGCGCCGCGCCGCGCTGCGCTGCGCGACGCGCAAAAGCATCCCTCTCTTAAGGAGAGTCCCACGGTTTGAAATAAAACACCTGGCTTCTCGCCCGCGTATGCGCGCGTACGCGTACGCGTGCACACGCGGCGCGCACGTACACGCACGTGCGACGTACGCGTGCACGCGCGGCTGACCGCGCGTAGTGCGCGGGACGCGCGCGCGTATCACGTAGGACCGAACCGTTCGAAAAGAACGGTTCGAAAGCGAGTGAAAGAGAGAGAGAGAGAGAGAGAGAGAGAGAGAGAGAGAGAGGGAGAGAGAAAGAAAGAAACATATCCGCGCGTCTCAGTGTGACATCGATTGTAAGGGCTCGCAACGATTACTCGCAAAGTCGCGGTAACGCCAACTCTAGACCGGCCTGTTACGCGTCCTATAAGAAGCGGCTGAAGGATTCGAAGGATCCTTCAAATGCATTCCGCTTCATTGAGGAACATGAACGGGAAGATGTTGTAAGCGTGATAAAGTGGCAGTTGGCGACGAACGTTGACCTGAAAATACAACGGTGAGTTAAGATGCATAAAGATTTCGTATCTTCTTCTTCTTCTTCTTTTTCAATTTTTTTACTAGAAATGGCCGAACTTTATTCCAATTGTCAGTCTTCGAAGATTTCTTGTCATTATTTTAAAATATTCTCAAGGGACGGAGTACCGGGACTCTATTCTTTTGATGCATATTCAGACGCTAAGTACGTTCTTTTTACTCCAAGTTCCATTTTTTCTTATACAAGCGTCCCATATAAAGTTGTTTTAATTTGAGCACCAGAAAGGCATACTTAGCGTCTTGAATACACCTCCAGGAATACGATCCTAGTTCTGTGTTTGGAAAAGAATGCGTATCGCGCGCTTGCAGTTGAAGTTTTGAAGATATTGTACGAATAGTGCGTTGAAATAGAAGGTACATTATAATGCTGGGACATCGAATAAATTTATCGCGCAAACTCGCAACTCTTTCTCTCTCCGCGCTTCGTGAAAAGTAAAAACGTTTCCCTTTGGATACTTTTGCTTCGTATCGATGTGCGTCCAGCCTGAAGTACACGCACACGCACTCTTGGCGCACGCGTTCTCACGGCGAGAACCGCGAGAGAAGAGAAGAAAGCCCGGGGTTCTCTCCCTCTCTGTCTCTCTCTTTCTCTCTCTCTTTCTTCCTCTCTTCTTCCCTCATTCTCTCGTCCGACCTGGCGGAGACTGGTTCCCTCCGGGCTTCCTTATAAACTTTATTGAATTCTTTGTAATATGCCAAAGGGTTCACCGTGCAACCGTGAGCGCGCTCGCGCGCGCCATTCATATGCTAAACAATAAAATCGTTGAAAGAAACGAATCTCTATCTGGCGCTCTCCCTCCTCTCTCTCTTTTCCTTTCGCGAGAGAGGAGAGCAGCTGGCCGAGACGTCGTCCGGTTAAAGACCAAGGAGAGGATGATACCTTGAGCTATTTAATGAAGAAGGGTGCAAGATGTACTCTCTGTCGTTTGATGGTGATGGTGGTGATGATGGTGGTGGTGGTGGTGGTGATAGTGGTGGTGGCGGTGGTGGTAGTGGTGGTGGTGGTGATGCCAGCTGCCACCGGAAGGAACAATGCGCACGCCAATGACGCATATTCGCCGAAGAACTCCAGTAAGTGGGTCATAGGAGATTCTATAACATTAAAGTAAAAGATAAGGCGAAAAAAGTCAAAGAGGACTAACGCAGAATGTTCGTCACAATATGTAACAATAATTTACTATCTGTGGTAATATCTGTGTTTTTTATTTAACTCTTAATTTCATTATTTCAATTATCTCAATTTATTTCAATTTTTAAATGTGTTTTTTTACAAGTAAAATATTTTTTATAGTATAATAATACAAGATATAGTGCGTAATAATGTTTCTATATATTAATTTTTGTATAATTCTATTCTTGCGAACAAGCACGTGAACTTACTATCTTTTTTTATTTTTTGTTTTTTAAAAAGATAAATTTGTACGAATATATCACATATTCTTTTTACAAATAAAAATAAAATTAACTTTTGTATAGTTCTATTCGTAC